GTCCACGTGGCCGATAGGATCCTTGTGCCGATGTTCGATGAGACATCACGTGTCGGTCCACGTGGCCGATAGGACCTTCCGGTACAATATGTAAACAATAACTGGTATAAAGTGACATAGTTTTTTTTAATGATATAAAAGGGCTAAAAGTCAGAGAAAAAGCGATTATACGTGAATACTACCTTTGATAGAGGAAGATTTTAGAAAGACTCAAAAATACAAACGTGATCCTCAAGAGAGAGACAGTATTTTGCAAAAGAATCAACAACAATATTTTGGATTCTACTAATATAATTCCACTTCATTATCTAAGCCATTCTAATGAGAGAGGTAATAAATTCTAATAAAGAATTAGATTTCTCTGAGTTGAATCACTCGATGAATCAAATTGAGAGCTTGAATAGAAACATAGTCTTTCTACACGAAGCACTTTAATAAGTGTCTCATCGTTGAGACAATAAATTTTGTAACTTTTATAGTTATTTTGAATTTACATTTTTGTCCACTGACAGAGCAGTCGTTGCCGGTTCACCGTCGTCCGCACCGACCACAACGTTGCTTGTGCGAAGAGGACCCGTTGCGATGTGGAAGTTGTGGCACGGAACAAAGTTACAATAATGTTAAAATAATATTATTTAAAAATATTATATATAAATTATATGGGTCAAGAAACTTTATATTTCTAATAATTACATGTAGACATAAAATTAAAAAAATATGAATAATTATCTATTAAGATATAAAAAAAAAAAATCACAGCTGAAAGATATAATAATTTACTTAAAAAAATAGAGATAAAAAATAATTATATATTATAATTTCCTTTGTTAATAAATATAGATATACGATAATGTTTATTTGAGTTTATAATTGACCACCATAAAAATAATTTTTGGTAGAATATTTAAGATAATTGGATCAAGTCAATCAGCGTTAGATTATTAGGTCATTTTCAGTGGGAGTTGTTTATAAGTAGGCATGACAACGGGGCGGGGCGGAGGCGGGTTTTACGTTTCCCGCCCCCGCCCTCGCAAATTTAAACCGTCCCCGCC